TATATATGAGATGTGTCGTGTATTGGTAGTGTATATAGAGAACTTTGTAGTGTATTGGGAGTGTATATATAGATACTGTGTAGTTGTCTTGGTAGTGTCTATATAGAGACTGTGTAGTGTCTTGTAGTGTATATATAGAAGGAGCTGGTGTAGTGATCTTGGTAGTGTATATATCGAGACTGTGGTAGTGGTATGGTAGTGTATAATTAGGAGACTGTGTAGTGTATTGCTAGTGTATATATAGAGACTGTGTAGTGTATTGGTCTTTCCTCTCTTATCCATATCATCATCCCACAGATCCCAGCCCAGAGACTAGTCCAGAGTCTAGTACAGAGTCTAGAACAGAGCCCAGTCCAGAGTCTAGTCCAGAGCCCAGCCCAGAGTCTAGAACAGAACCCAGCCCAGAGTCTAGTCCAGAGTCTAGTCCAGAGCCCAATACAGAGTCTAGTACAGAGTCTAGTACAGAGTGTCTGTCCTAAAAAGGGTGGATTACCAGACTACCTCTCTGTCTGTCCTAAACAGGCTGGACTAACAGACTACCTCTCTGTCTGTCCTAAACAGGCTGGACTAACAGACTACCTCTCTGTCTGTCCTAAACAGGCTGGACTACCAGACATGATCTGTATCGAATGTTGAAGATATTTTAGTCTCATTGTGTTGAATGCCCACTGGTATAAGAAGTCTATAGTTCACATCTATGCATATCTCTGTATGTAGCTTGAGGTTTGTGAGCTAGCTTTAAACCAGGGCTGTTGCTGATAAGAGAGGAGAGAGAGAGTTGAGAGAGAGAGAAAGAGAGAGAGAAGAGGAGACAGGTTTGTTGTTGAGGACAGAGAAGAGAGAGAGAGAGTTGAGAGAAAGAAAGAGAGCGAGAGAGAGAGTGAAGAGGAGAGAGGTTTGTTGTTGAGGACAGAGAAAAGAGAGAGAGTTGAGAGAGAGAGAAAGAGAGAGAGTGAGAGAGAGAGAAGAGGAGAGAGGTTTGTTGTTGAGGACAGAGAAGAGAGAGAGAGAGTTGAGAGAGAGAGAAAGAGAGAGCGAGAGAGAGAGAAGAGGAGACAGGTTTGTTGTTGAGGACAGAGAAGAGAGAGAGAGAGAGTTGAGAGAGAGAGAGAAAGAGAGAGAGTGAGAGAGAGAGAAGAGGAGAGAGCTTTGTTGTTGAGAGTTTGAAGTGTTGTGTGTTTGTGTGGCAGATGGAGAGAGTTGCATAAGAGGATAATATGGGGAAACACCTGCAAGCTAACACCTCTCAGAGACCCAACACACACACTACACACACACACACACACACACCCTGACACCACCTCTCTCTCTCTCTCCTCTAGGACCTGATTCGTAGGGACATCCTGTACTATAAGGGCCGTATCGACATGGACCGCTATGATGTGCGGGACGCCATCGACGGTCGCGACGACGACTTCAACGTGAGCGTGAAGAACGCGTTCAAATTGCACAACAAAGACAGCGAGGAGCTCCACATCTTCCTGTCTAAGAAACTGGAGGAGAAGATACGATGGCTCCGGGCTTTCCACGAGGAGAGGAAGATGGTGCAGGAGGATGAGAAAATCGGTTAGACTCACACACACTAATTTTTACACACTCACACACACACATACACACTCACACACACTTATACATACACACTCACACACACATACACACTCACACACACTCATTTTTACACACTCACACACACACATACTCACACACACACACACTTATACTCACTCACACACACACCTTTTGATGGTTCTCAGTCACACATTCTTCACCTACTTGTGGTGATGTCAAATGTTCATTTTACAATGAACAATGAGGTTGTATTCTATTCCATTTGAGACAATAGGCTTGCAGTCATGGTGTACACTGCAATAATTCAAGGTTAACATGGAGCTTGTGTGTTTCAGGGTTTGAGATCTCAGAGTACCAGAAGCATCAGGCAGCTCTGACTGTGAGGAAGGTAGCTAAACAGAAAGGTGAGACAACACGAAGATACCAGGTGATTTCCCTTCCTTTCTTTCTTTCTCTTCTCTCTCTTCTCTCTCTTCTCTCTCTTCTCTCTCTTCTCTCTCTTCTCTCTCTTCTCTCTCTTCTCTCTCTGACACTCTGTCTTCTCATCGCTGTTTACTTACCAAGCCTTACACACACACTTTTACCTTCGTCTCACACACACACACACACTCCGTACATACACACCGCACATCACTCTTTTACCTTCGTCTCTCACGCACATACACCTTTTCCTATGCCTTCTTTCTGTTTACAAATCGATTTGCAACCGTTCCAAAAGCGTCAAATCTAGTCACACATTATCTTCCAGAAGAGACTTGTGAATCAAACAACTGCTAAACACCTATGAAAAGACAGAGGGATTTTATGCATGGTGAATATTAAAGAATAGTTATCTTGAAGTGAAAACGCAGGTGTATAGAACGCCAGTTGGATGTGAGTTGTTTGCCATTGTTGATGTGATGTGTGTTTTTGACCGTTAGGCCCATCATAACAGATGTGTGTGGTCTCTCTGTGAATGATGTTTCTGATGTTAAGATGGCCCATTCGTCAGTCTAGGGGCTCTATTTTCAGCTGCCGCTAAGGAGGCGCAAGTGTCAAACGCAGTTTGCAATTTTGTCAATGGCATTTTCCAGCCCTAACGCCAGGTTCCGCAATTTCCCTGTCTGACATCAGCTCACCTGCGCTGAGGTGGGAGGGGTGGCAATATTTGAGCTGTGTCTTTAAAAACAAGAGCAAAAGTGACGATTTCATGCAGCGCTAACGGGAAGTTATAAAGACCCACAAAAAGCTGGTCTTAACAGTAAGACAGTTGATAATGGTATGGATTTAGAGAGAGGAAGCGCAGTCTATCCAGACATGACAGTGCCCATAGAACAGAGATGTGCCATTTGTGCCGGTGAATCTCGTATTTAGAAACGTAAAAAATATATATTGCCCCCCCCCCCCCCCCCCCCATTTCGTTTAATTTGATTAAAAACCAAGCATAGCCTACCCTCCCTTTAATTAAGGCTGGTTTAGCAGCATCGCATTGGTGCGTCTGTTTTATCCTGGCCATTAGCCCAGTAGCCTATGAATAAAGTGCTTTTAAATTGTCTACTGAGAGTGCTTTGATATATTTAGCTTTTTCATTATTCACAATTCACATATCTGCATACTACAAGTAAGCTATCCATCCCCAATTTTCAAAGAGCGCCCCTCGTCTGATTACCAAAGACACGCTCCTCCAAACTATTAAGTCCTCCTATAATGCCATATCGATGGCAGATTTTGGGGAGAATAGGCAAAGATACAATTGACAGTATCCTAGTATTTTGTATAGACGTGTGAATGTTATGCATAAAGACATGTAGGCATACCTGTGCACACAGTGCCGTGGAACGAGAGAGGCGATTTATGATATCATGCTTCTGACCCCATCCTATTTAGAAACTGTTTTCCATTTCATATCAAGCCTTCCATAGGCTGCCCTTACCCTAGGCCTAGGCTACGAAGGCTGGTTCAACAGCAATGCGTTGTGTCTTTTATCCTGGCCTTGTAAAGGAGCCTATCCATAAAAGGTGTTTAAATGGTCTGTTCGTCAGAGTGCCTTGAATTGAAAATATACTGCACATCCTAAAACATACACACATATGCCTACCTGCATGCTTCATTTAGCTTGTTCAAGTATCCGTCCCCATCTCCAAAGAGCGCCTGTCATCCGGGAACCAAAGACGCGCTCCTCCAAACTTATTTAAATGATTCAGTCGTTTAATGCAGTATCATCGGTAGGCCTAGGCTATATCTGGCTTATTGACAACGTGCCTCACACATACAATACAAGTTACGGGGAGCTTAGTATTTATTATTGAGGAGAAGTGTGATGTGTAAAGACATGTAGGCTAGGCTTGTTGAAGCCAATTACAACAATGTTGACTGCCAACACTCCAAACATAGGCTATTGAGCAAATACTAGTTGTATTTACTGTTGCTATTAAGTTATTGTAGCCTATGCTATTTAATAAACTGTAGTGTCAATATACAATGGATCAGGAGGAGAACATCCCGTGTCCCCAGCTGAATTGGAGTTGATGGCAACGCAAAGACCGTCAGTAACCTACAGAACTGGAGACAAACACATGCAGAATTAGACTAAGCCATGGAACGCATTGATTGGCCAGTGAGTGGCCAAGCGCTAGTCAAATCAAATCAAATCAAATCAAATTGTATTTATCACATGCGCCGAATACAACAGGTGTAGACCTTACCGTGAAATGCTAACTTACAAGCCCTTAACCAACAGTGCAGTTTGAAGAAAATAGAGTTAAGAAAATATTTACTAAATTAACTAAAGTAAAATAAAATGAGGCTATATACAGGGGGTACCGGTACCGAGTCAATGTGCGAGGGTACAGGTTAGTCGAGGTAAATTAGTCGAGGTTAGTCACACCTACAAAACCCAGCCCTTTCGCACCACCGCCAGCAATTGCACTCATAATAATAATGTGGGCTGTAAAAATAGCAAAAATATTTCTGACGCACCCCAGGACTTATAGCGCTACAACCAGCACTAAGATTTACCACTGGGTTAGGTTTGTTCAAATACAGCCCTAGATGTGTGTCAGAACTGTGTCCTTCTGTGTTTGGTTTGGTGTGTCACAGTACTGTCCTGTTCTATGTGTGTGTTACATCGTGGTTTTACAGTAACTGTGTGTGTGTTACATCGTGGTTTTACAGTAACTGTGTGTGTGTTACATCGTGGTTTTACAGTAACTGTGTGTGTGTTACATCGTGGTTTTACAGTAACTGTGTGTGTGTTACATCGTGGTTTTACAGTAACTGTGTGTGTGTTACATCGTGGTTTTACAGTAACTGTGTGTGTGTTACATCGTGGTTTTACAGTAACTGTGTGTGTGTTACATCGTGGTTTTACAGTAACTGTGTGTGTTACATGGTTGGCACAAGGTGAAGTACTGCTCTTGAATTTTCAGATTCATTATTAGATATCATCTTGAGAAAGAGGGCCTTGTTTTATGGACATGGTTTGAAAATGATAAAGGTATATCATTCATTAGAGTTTTGTTTACTGTAGAGATAATGCAACAAGATGCCATGGCAACTGATAAGAAATCAGAACTACTATACTTACCAATGGCATTGGAGCATGTTGATATAGAGTATATTCTATCTTTATTACCTCTCAAGGCTCTCTAAGATCTCCATAGAGAAACAGTGTCTATAATCAGTTAACAAAACAAGGACACTGTGTTTTTCAAGATGCCATGGCAACTTTTCAATTTTCCATCATCAAATATTGATTATTCACAGTTTGGCTGTGGAGTAGTTGTTGTGATGCTCGTAGATTGTAGTCCAACAGCTTTCTGTTCTTATAAATCTATTTTGATCGCTCTTACTTTCCTTAGTCTTAGGGTGCTATTCAATCAAACACGTAATCAGCAAAGCCGGAATAACACTCTCTCCATCGCCAATGGAAACGCCTGATTTCATATTTGTGCTGGAAGAATGTTATTTCTCCGGGTCCTCGTGTTTGCCTGATTCAGGGATTGTTTGAATAGCATCTCTAGTTCTCCCTTGTGTCATTACTAGAGCAGAGTTTTATCTTTTCCATCCTCCAGCATCATCATATGATCATATATCATATCTGATGATTAACGTAGTACATAGTTGTAGTTGCCTGTTTGTTGTGAAAGCATGACTAGATGTTGTGTCAAATGTTCTGTTTCTGATCCAATACTGACCATGTTTCTCTGGCTATCCACCTCTCCACCCCTTGGCTTCTGCTCTTTGCCTCTGCCTCTACTCTGCTCCTCCTTCCTGCCCCCTACTCTGCTCCTCCTTCCTGCCCCCTACTCTGCTCTCTCCTTCCTGCCTCTACTCTGCTCTCTCCTTCCTACCCCCTACTCTGCTCCTCCTTCCTGCCCCCTACTCTGCTCTCTCCTTCCTGCCTCTACTCTGCTCCTCCTTCCTGCCCCCTACTCTGCTCCTCCTTCCTGCCCCCTACTCTGCTCCACCTTCCTGCCCCCTACTCTGCTCTCTCCTTCCTGCCTCTACTCTGCTCCTCCTTCCTGCCCCCTACTCTGCTCTCTCCTTCCTGCCCCCTACTCTGCTCTCTCCTTCCTGCCCCCTACTCTGCTCTCTCCTTCCTGCCCCCTACTCTGCTCCTCCTTCCTGCCCCCTACTCTGCTCTCTCCTTCCTGCCTCTACTCTGCTCTCTCCTTCCTGCCCCCTACTCTGCTCCTCCTTCCTGCCCCCTACTCTGCTCCTCCTTCCTGCCCCCTACTCTGCTCCTCCTTCCTGCCCCCTACTCTGCTCTCTCCTTCCTGCCTCTACTCTGCTCCTCCTTCCTTCCCCCTACTCTGCTCTCTCCTTCCTGCCCCCTACTCTGCTCCTCCTTCCTGCCCCCTACTCTGCTCCTTCTTCCTGCCCCCTACTCTGCTCCTCCTTCCTGCCCCCTACTCTGCTCCTCCTTCCTGCCCCCTACTCTGCTCCTCCTTCCTGCCCCCTACTCTGCTCTCTCCTTCCTGCCTCTACTCTGCTCCTCCTTCCTTCCCCCTACTCTGCTCTCTCCTTCCTGCCCCCTACTCTGCTCCTCCTTCCTGCCCCCTACTCTGCTCCTTCTTCCTGCCCCCTACTCTGCTCCTCCTTCCTGCCCCCTACTCTGCTCCTCCTTCCTGCCCCCTACTCTGCTCCTTCTTCCTGCCCCCTACTCTGCTCCTCCTTCCTTCCCCCTACTCTGCTCACTTCTTCCTGTCCCCTACTCTGCACCTGCCTTCCAGGTGTGAACAGATGCGTGCCTCCTCCTACCCCCCTCCCCAGGACCGCCTACCCCCGGGACAGTATGACCTAACAGATGACTTGGCACAAGCAGAGGTTTTTGAATTCAGTCAATTCAAACGAGGCCAGTCTCTTTTCTGGCACAGCAATTTTACTAGATTAACACCATTTAAGAAATAGAGAAACAGACTCTTTCCAAGGACCATCTATTTTTTCTGAGAAACACTCAAACTAAAATGTTTGGAGGATTACATCGTCGTCCTGTGAAGAAGAATTGAAGACAAAAAAAGAACCACTGAAGGAAGGACCAATGATGTTTATTTGTGAGTTTCATTGTGAGTTGTCACCCAGAAGACTGGATATAACTATGGATTATAACTTCTTCACTTAATTATAATTCCAGTGTTCTTAGTTCTAAGTTCCAATGCTCCTCTTCTCCAGTAGACGCTACTGTTCCATACTGAAGTGTACTGGAATCTGCTTCTACACCCCTTAACCCCACCATCGCCATCTTAATGTCCTGGATTCATGGAGATAGCTTTTATTTTTGTTATTTTCAGGCTCTGCCGTTTTTCCATATTTGAAGTAAGCATATTTAATGTTCCTTTACCAGAAGTCCACCTACCTAGTGTACAGTATGATTGTGTAGATGACAGGTGTTCTGTTGTGTTGATGTGTGTGTCTGTGAGGATTATGTTGTTGTGAGGATGGCCTGAGGTG